ACCCCCCCCCCCCCCCCCCCAAAAAATGGTATATTTACCTATCAGTAATTTTCCTTTCCTGATGCTAAAGCATGGCAGCATACATATGGGTATAGCTCTGCCTCCCACCCAATCACAGGACCGGTTATACTATAAATGAACACACCCTCAGAAAGGCAGCATTCTCGTAGCAATACTCAATGCGAAAGCCATTGGAGGACAATTACTGATAGGTAAGTATGCAATTTTCCTGACACAAGAATTTCAGCATACATATGGGACAATGAGAAGGTATTTATTTATTTATTTGCACAACTGTTAGACACATTCAGAGTGCACAAACTCCACTGTGGTCAAGGCTGCCCATAAGAATAGTACCAAGTTTCTCTGTGCTGAATGATTGGAGGTGCCAATTTTTAATAGAGGTTTGCCTTTTGGGGCGCCGTGCAGGCAATTTTTCTTGATGGATTTTCTTTTTTGTTATATCTAATAAAGCAAGCCAATTGGCTCGAAATTATATGACACTAGTTGATTTGTAACTTCTTTATCCACCTTTTCTCTTGAGGTGGCACCTTTTTTTGACCCCAATGTACTTCCTCAGCATAGTACCCACTTTTAAGGCATGAGTTGAAACAAAAACCTTATTCTGGAACATTGGCAAATGATGCCCTTATTTAGATGGAAAGATCTGCAGACCTTTGGATGATGCTGAGAGAGATTTGTTTTAGTATTACCCTGTCAGGGAAATATTCGCAATAAGGTGGTTCACACCTTAAGCTTGACTGCCCTTCATGCTCTTATGGGTTGCCAACAGGTTGAGATCTAAATGACTTCACTTGCTGCAGATCCACTTGTTGGATAATCTGGGGAGTTGAACATAGGATGCAGTGAGATTCACCAAGTTTCTCTGCGCTGAATGATTGGAGGTGCCTCCATCAGCAACGAGCAGCTCCTTCCTCCCCTATGACATTGAATTTATGAAAAATGTCATCCTGTTGCCCATTTGGATCATTACCAAAGCTCCCTGTATCTATTACCAAAACACTTTCAGGACCTAAAAGGCTCTCTGAACTCCAAGATGCTGGAAACTCCCCCCAATGGACACTGACCTTGGACTAAGAGGTTGTTGAGGTGATTACCCCAACTGTGTGCAGAAGAATCCATTGTTAACACTATCAATGATTAGAGACAGAGTTGATTACAGTTGAAAAAGGCTCACTGTCCTTAGGCACAACCAAATCTCATATTTGGGATCACCCTGATCCTCTGGTACAGGGAATGCCTTCTCCCTCGTCTTAAGAATTTTCTTGGAAAACTCTCAGCCTCCAATAAGTCTGTTTCACCATTGGAATCAATCCTGTCAACTTGAGACAATGGGACGCCAATGAGTAGGATAGAGACTTGACCTGCCTATAAGGATCACTAAGATCGCTACCCTCTCGGAAGTTCTGCAGAGAGTTTCTCTGATAACATCATGCTTTGTGTTGGAATGGCTTGCCTTTTTTTCCTGTTGGCGACCTATTTAAATTTGATTAGAACCTGAGCTAAACTGTCCCAGTGAGAGAGTTCCTATAGTGCTTGGTATTTCCAGCACAT